GGAATATTTATTAGTGAGGAAATTTCACAACTAGCATTCGATCCCTGGAATTCACTGAGCTCCTGAGAGCATCCCATTCTTCCACAAATGTTTGTTGATGCAGTCCGCGTGACTAGGCGCTTGATTTTACACACCTGTGGGGCTGGAAGTGATTGAAACACCTGAATTCAATGATTGGGATGGGTCACAGAACACGTCTGGTAATATAGCTTATAATACAACATCTACTGACCAAAAATAAAAGATCAGCAGGAATAATTTACCTGATGGAAAAAGTTCTTGTCAACCACGTTTTCGATTCTCTTAATTTTGTGTTGTCTGTTCATTACTGTGGAGAGGTCACTGCTGTCTGAGTCTGTCTTCTCAAACTTTTTGTGCTGTGGCTGGAAGTCTTCAGGTTTTATATGTGGAGGGGGATGGCAGTGCAGAAGCTTGCCCTGTAAGGAAAAGAGCTATGTTAGGCAAAGGTCGTTGTAAACATGATGATAATTGACTGGTAACTGGTCAAACCAACAAATTCAGTGGTTACAAGAGAACAGCTACACCTTACAAAAGACTGAAGACCTCCACAGTCTGCTTAAACACACAGCCGAACCACAGATGTGCTACAGCTACACTGTTTAACGGTGCCGGTGACAGAGCTGAGCCAAGATGAAAATAACTTATTTATCTCTCCTAGAATTTCCATCTGTGTTTTCCTCCCACTTTGTAAGGCTGAACATTTCATTAATGACCCACACTCACTCAACCACAGTCCAAAATTAAAAAGTAAACACAAGCAACATAACTGTGTGTTTTTTCCAATCCACAACAGTTTGCAGTTGTGAACTTACGCTCACGTAATCCTTCAGGACGTAGCGGGCCGATCTGGACTGATCGGGCTGGCCGTGCGACGTCATGAAACCTCTCATATCTCAAACAGACAAAAAAGAAAAGGCTATGTTATAAAACAAAGAAATTACATCAAGGGGAAAGACAGCTAGCAGCATCTAAGGGTGCCACAGTAAGGTGACAGTATCACAATTTGAGCTAGGGACCTCTGATCAAGGAAGAACACAATACATAAAATTAAATCTATAAAACAGATTTTTTTAAAGAATCTAAGATGGTTTACTCTCTCGAGTTGTACATATTTCACCTATTGTTAATCTATTCTATCCAGACTCATAATAAATGTCTATTAGCCTCACATCCATACGCCATCAGCAGCTCTTCCGCAGTGGGCGGTCTGTCAGGGTCTTCATCTTCCCGCGGTCTGATAATATTGATGCCATAGGTGCCTTCTAACACGTGCCGAGGGATCGTCTGACATATGTGACCAATCTGTTAAGAACTACGTGTCGTAAGCATCAGAATCAATCATAAAGCAGAACAGGCAGAGTCGAGCTTTCTGTCATGTAAAGGATATGAGTGAGATGGCAGGTACGTGGTCTCTCATCTGGTCTATGGGCAGAATCCCAGAGCAGATCATCTCAGCTTTGGTAGAAA